AGAATGAAGCAATAAAACAAAACAACAAAGGAAAAGGAGAGCAAATAGTATGCTTCCATCTGCATTCAGACTCCATAGTTCTTTCTCTGGATGTGGATAGTATTTTCCATTGTGAGTCTTTTGAAGATGTCTTAGATTCTTGCATTGCTGTGAATGACCAAATCTATTAAAGTCATTCATCACATGGTATGGCTATTACTGTGTACAATGTTCTCCTGACTCTGCTCATTTCACTCTGCATCAGTTCATATAAGTCTTTCCAGGTTTTTTTGAAGTCTGCCTGTTCATCATAGTATTCCATTCCAATAGTATTCCGTTACATTCATACACCACAACTTTTTCAACCGTTCCCCAATGGATGGGCATCCCCTCAATTTCTAATTCTTTGCCACCACAAAAAGAACTGTTATAAATATTTTTTACATGTGGGTCCTTTTCCCATTTGTATGATCTCTGGGATACAGACCTGGAAGTGGTATTGCTGGGTCAAAGGGCCCTGGAGTCTTTTCTGAGATCCTCTCAAGATGTCTTGGGAGGACAACTGCTTTACCCCTTTATTCTTGCTACTCTGTGTTCGTTTCATAGAGATTTTCTGTTTGTTTGTGGAGGAAATCTGAAGAGCCTGAAAATTTCTGACCTACTCCACCATCTTCTCAGAATGCAACCCTCATTTATAGTAATTTATTCTCAATGAGAAAATATGAACCAATAAAATGAGCTATCAGTTATGACCTTGGAAAGGGCTCTAAGGAGTTTCTTCCTTCTATTCCTTCAGTTCAGTAATTCCTTATATGTGAAGTGCTTGCTATGTGCAAGGCACCGTGCCATGTGCTGGGTACATAATTCATAATTTTATTATGGCACTAGCTTTATGATGTCATCAACATGGATATTCCTTCCATTGGTACAGATTGTAACTTATCCATGCCCTTTCATCCTGAACAATTATTGGCCAAGTTCTCCCATCACAGATGTAGAACCCAAAAGATGGGAGTCCTCTCTGTAGGTCATTGTTTTGCATTTTGTGGGTATTGAATCAAGTGAAGCATTCAAGCTGTTCATATTTCATCCCTCACATTCAATATATAGCCATACAATGTCCTTCTCTAGTTACACATTTTTCAGTGATCCCTTATTCCAATTCTTACTCAAGAAAATTAAAGTTTCAAGTGATCCAAAAGAAGAAATTGTAGGCCCACAACGTTACTGAGAGTACAGAGGCCAAAACTAAAGATTCCCTGCCTTCCAGGAACTTACATTCTACTGGAAAAATACAGCCCGCATAATAATGCAAGATAATTTAAAGAAGAAGAGAATACTAGCAACGAGGTAGATGAGAAAAGGCTTCACAGAGGAAATGACACATGAATTAAGCCTTGGAATCTGAGAAGTCTAGATGAGGAAGTGGTACATTCCAGACATAGGAGATGGCCTGTATGAATGTACAGGAGAGGAACTGTGGAGTTTGGATAGTAACTACTTGTACAATTTGATTAGAGTTGATAGGGTTCATCAAGTGGAATAGTGTGAAATAAGTCTGGAGAGGTCATTTGGACCTACATTGTTGGAAGGCCTTAATGTGAGGCTGTTTGTATTTTTTCTTAGAGGTAATAGGGAGTCCATGAAGGTTTTTGAGCAAGAGTGTGATATGGTCAGACCTGTAATTTTGTAATATTGTATAGTGAACAAATTTAAGAGTGTGGAAGGTTAAAAACCAGGAGACCTACTATAGTCAATCAGGTGTGAGAGATGATGAGGGCCTGGGAGATGTGGTAGATTGCTGGATATCAAGAAGGAAATGGGTACAGCGACTGTTGTGGTGTGGTATATTTAACAAGACTTGCCCACTGATTGGTTATATGTGAAAGAGGGTGGAATAGTGAGGGAAAAGAAAGATTTAGGGATTAATCTGAGGTTTAAAAAAGGGATGACTGGGAACTAGGTGGTGGCCTCAATAGAAATGGTGAATTTTATAGGAGAGTTTAGGAGAAAATAATGATATGTATGTGTGCATGTATGTTTGAGATTCTGATAGGACATCCAGGAGATTTCTGGCAGGCACATGAGCTCAGGAAAGAGACTAGAGCTGAACATGTAAATCTGAGAGACAACTGTGTAGAAATGCTAATTGAAACCATAGGAGTCCCAAGACTGTGCTATGGAGGACACACATACTAAAGATGCAGAATTTGTATGTTGATTTAGCTAAGGAGACTGATGAGTGGTCAGATGTAGAATGAGAACCAGGACACAGCTATATTACAGAAACTTTTCCAGCTCCTCCTCGGCTACCTCTGCACTAAGAAGGTTACCTCACTGGATCCACTTATTTAGTCCTTATCAGATTGTGTTCTTCAAAAGCCTCTACTGAGAGTTTTATACTTGAAAAAATAGAATATGAGGAATGATGAACTCCAATTTTTAAATTCTAGGGTGGTGATGTTCTAAGTATCATCCCCTCATTTTACAAATGGGAGAACAGCCCCAGAGAAAGGATAGGACTATTCAAGATCACAGCAAGTTAGCAGCAGAGCTGGAATTTTAAAACTCAAGTCTACTGATTCCTGTGATGGAGTTCTTTTCCTTCTGCTGCCATTGCCTCCCAGGGTAAGGGCAATTGAAGGAAGCTGAAAGAAAGGAATCATGAGAAATATTTAGCTAGCTAATAATGCACTTCGTTTTTAAAAACTGGAATTTTATCTTTATTATCTAAGACAGTGTGGTCTTCAAATGTTTTTTGATCATGCAGACCTATCAGTAAAAATATTGAGTATACACCACAAATATGTATATGTTTACTTATTTGCAAATAACATACACAGAAATTAAATAAGGATGAAATGAAGATAAAAAAAATTTAATCCTAGAGATGGAATTTATTGCAAAGAGGGCCTGACACGTTCAAACATAAACTTTAAGAAAATGTGGTAGTTAGGAGGAAGTAGTATGGGCCAGCTCTTACCCACAGCTGTTCCAATAAATACCTGCAAAGTACACCAGACCAAGGTATAATAAGGAAAATTTACAATACTTCATTTTTCCAGCTGACATCAGCTGAAGGAGTCAGAGATCTATAGGTACTTGGGACCAAATCTAGCCCGGAAGGTAGAGTATAGGGCCTTCCATCTCTAAAACTAAGCAGGATTTCTGACCGTACTAAAGCAAGAAGTAGTTATTTACCCTTCAAGGTCATAACCTGAAGCTGTTTGGGGAGCAAGTAACAGGAGCTGTCAGCTCGGTCACTTTGACTGCAGAGCTGGGTCCCAAATCCAGTACAGATTGAAAGGACCTCCTGCACCTAAGAGTGACTGATCCATGGATGTGCCCTGTGGTAGTGTATCAGGGCAAAGAGTAGTCACAGGACTGAGGCTTTGTACTGGACAAGGAACAGAAATAGAAGCAAGTCACAGCTATGTAACTCTGTCCCAAGAGCCATTCTTGGATTTAGTCCCTCGCATATTTTAAAGCCTGCACCTAAATAGGACACAGAACTCAGAAGAAGAGCAAACCTGCAGTTTTGTCACTTTGAATTTGCAGATCCTTTTAACTTACTAACATGGACTAGAGCCACCAGCAGCGCACTGGAGCCTCAACCAGAGACCGGCTTACCGTTGTGTCACCCAGACTCAAACCAAGGTCAGCAGTTTCAAGCTCAGACCAGAAGGGTAGCAATCAGATTTTGCCCTAAATCAGTCTACTTTTGGTACAATAAAAGTTTTAAGATTCTCGTCCTTAGCCCCTATTCCTTTATCATGAAGATTCTTGAAAAACTCAGCATTTAGTACTACTGGAGAAAGTAGAATCAGGATCCCAGAAAATACAGATAAAGAATGATCAAGATGTTCATGTTCCCTCTAGACAATGTGGCCCTAACAGAGTCCCAATTATGTAAGTAAAGCTGGAAAAAAAATGAGTCAGCCAATACCTTGGTAGTTTAGGTTCAATATTGGAACAAAATGAGGAACTCAGAGATCCTTCAACAATTAATAAAAAAAAAGATTTACGTAGTCATGGCAGAAGAAGGATATTCAACAAAAATAGGAACTGAAATCACCTCAAGTTGACTCAGCCTTCTTGCCTTAATTACCTATCATGATCTGCAAACCAAGCATCAGAGAGCTGAAGCTCCTAGTATGAACTTTATACTCAGGTGATGAGGACGTGATGTCAGTAGCCCAGAGGACAATATCAATACCTTTTAAGGAAAAACATAGTCTAACTTGCATGGGGGCAGGGATTGGGATATTGCTTCTACCACAATAGGGAAATCACTATTTGCCAAAAGGTACCATAGGCAATGAATTAATATCAATAATTAACGTATGTGCAGTACATGACGTAGCGTCTAAATACTTAAAAGAAAAGCTGAACACGTTACAGATGAAAATAAGATTTCAATGTATATACCCTTTCAGACCCAGATAAATCTAAATAAAAATTATACCAGAAATAATTTAAAGACCTAAATAAAATTCTAAAAAAGTTAGAAATTCTATCTAAAAAAGATAGAATTCTAGTCATTATTGAATGAGGATAGAAAGGAGAATACATATTTCTCAGCTCTGTATGGCACCTTTAAAAAGTTGACCATGTACTGAGTGTGAAAACCTCCCCAACAAATGCAAAAAAAAAAAGCAATGCTTTTAAATACACTCTTTACTGAATAAAATGCAACAAATATACATATATATTTAGTCAGTAAAAGACTGTTGAACAAAGGATTAAAGATTAAAATTAATTTTAAACAGAAGTAATCGAGATGCACTTGTCTGATAAAATGAATAGAAAATGGAGATCAAAATTCTCTAATATTTGATTCTCAGTACAATTTATTTATTTTATAGCCATGTTTAACTGTTCCATTTATCTCTGTCTAAAGTTTCTTTATCTCTAAACTGTGACTTGGAGAAAATATTTATCTTGAAACTGAACTAGAACAGCTTAAAGAAATAAGGCATTTAGGGTAAATTATCCTATCTTATTTTCTTTTTCTTTTTCAGGCTCCATGTCTTGTATCAGAAACGTGCAGTGTTGTCGAAACGTCACCACAAATTAGATACACAGAGATGCCATGTAGCCCACCTAAAGGAATGTCTAAAGGTAGAATGCCCTTTTTAGACGAGTTAATGTTTTTCATGATAAATGAAGAATAGACTATCTTTTCTTTGTGGTTGGACACATTAACATTATCAGGCATGTATCAATATGAAACTAATATATGCACAGCATTCTCCTAGGTTCTTGGAAAGGAACAAAGATAAATAATGTCCTAAACTCTTCATGGAGGTTACAGTCTAAATACAGATATGCCACATACACAAATAACTGGAATACAGAATAACTTATGATAGGAGAAGTACAAAGTACTATGCATACAAGATCCAAAAAGAAATAAAATTTCTGATAAAAGTGGGGATCAGTGTGTGTGTGTGTGTGTGTGTGTGTGTGT